AAAAGCCATCAATATTATGTACTCCCAAATATACTCTGAAAAGGGTATGCTACCCTCTGGTATACTTGGTGCATATGCATAGTACTTCAATTTATTCATGAGAAAACATCAAACCCAAATTGTGGAACATTCTACAAACTATCCAACCAGTAGTCTTTAAAAACATCAAAGTAATGAAAGACAAGAATTATCACAGATAGAAATAGGCTAAGGAAATACAACGATTAAATACAATGTGGGATTCTGGGTTAGATCCTAGACTGGAAAAATGATATTGGAGGAAAGACTGATTTAAAAAAAAAAAAAAAAAAGTTAAAAGATCAGCCCTGTGGCACAGTGGTTAAGTTCTGTGTGCGGGGAACTGGATCCTACATTGGCAGAGTTGGTTTATATCTCAATCCCAGATGCTTGAAAAACACACTGGATGCATATGAGCATGTGCCCAAACTCCTTAAGAGATGGAGAAACGGAGGAAACAGGATTATGGCAAGACCATGTATGGCTGGGTTGGTATTTTCTCTCTCTCTCTCTCTGTCTGTCTTGTGAGTACGCCCACTCTCTCGCAAAAACAAAAACAAAAACAAAACAAAGTCTGTAGTTCAATTAACAGTACTGTATTAGAGTTAGTTTCTTAGTTTTTAATATTTGTACTATAGTGTACTATGGTCAAGTGAAATGCTACCGTTGGAGCAGAGGAGACTGCTCCATATTATTTTTATAACTTCCCTATAGGTCTAAAGTTACTTCAAATTTTAAAAACTGTTAAATGTTACAGGTTAAAAAGAAAAAGAATGAACTACTTACAGACAGATATAACAACATGAATGAGTCACAAAACATTTTGCTGAGCAAGAGTAGCAAAACATAATAAAGTACATACTGTTATGATTCCCTTTATGCTACAGAAAAGACAAAATCTATAGTGACAGAAAGCACTAGGGCAAAGGGTGGATGAAGGAGAGGAATGACTTCACAGAGGCACTGAGGTAACATTTTGGAGTGATTGAAATAGCCTATATCTTGATTGTAGTGGTAATAACACAAACATATACACTGTCACTCAAATATTCTTTAATTTTTTTGAGAGGTTTTTGCTCTAGGGCATGTAAGCTCGCCAGAGAGAGAGAGACAGAGAGATAGAAAGTGAGAAATCACCCCCTAGTTGGGATGGCCACGCTGCAATCCCTTCTCCTCCATTCTCTTCTTGGGATCTCGGGCACACACAAACGCACACACACGCATGCACCTGGCATAAATTTCAAGGCTATAGGTCTGGGACTCAAAGTGCAGTTGACTACATGGGAGTCCAGCGACATAACCATTGACTGGTCCCTTAATTTTTTTTTTAGTTCATGATAGAGCACATGTGTACACATATGGAGCATGGGGGCAGCCTCCACTGGGTCTGGTCATACCGCTATCCCCTTTTTCTAGTCTTCCAGTCAGTCAGATCTTGGGCACTAGTGTATGTGCCTAGAGTGTTCTGGGCTGATCAGGCCTAACAATTTGGATTGTGGGCACCAGGGTGGGATCCAGCTTCTCTTGAGGAACACATTTTATCATTATGCTACAGAGCCAACCCATCAATCTGTGTATTTAAAATGCATGTGTTTTATGTTTGTAACTTAACCCTCAATAAAGTTTATTATATGTTTTAAGGTTTTCTTTCTTTCTTTTTTATTTTTTTTTTACATAAGGTGTATGTGCTAGCTGGAAAAAGAGAGGGAAAGTGAGAAATCACCCCTCAAGGGGGAGAGCTACATCACAATCCTTTCTTCTCCATTCTTCTCTTGGGATTTTGGATACGCACATGCAGCTGGCGTGATCTTCAAGCTGTGGGATCCAGGACCTGAACAAGGGTTGGCCATGTGGGGGTCCAGCAGCCTAACTACCACATCACCTGCTGGCCCCAAGTTCATTGTATTTTTAAAAATATGCCCATATCTACAAGTATTTATACTTCTAGAATAACCAATGTATGTGTGAATAATTAGTGTGTATTAGCTAATATATGTAAAAGTCAGTGTATACTAAATAATTAGTATATATTTTATACAGGGTAAAACTCAAGTACTCTATTTTTTTTTCCCTTTTTCTTTTTTTTTTTTTTGGAGAGGTTTTTGCTATAGGGCACATGCGCTCGCCAGAAAGACAGAGAGAAAGACAGAGAGACAGAAGGTGAGAAATCACCCCCCGGGGGGGATGGCCACGCCTCAATC